ACCCTCGGCAGGAGCGCCGCCATGCTCCCAAGCAGCGCACTGTAGCAGTGTGCCACCGGGCCGGCCCTAAAGATTTTTTCATTGAGGGTACTTTTATTATTAAAGTGCTAGTTTAAATCTAAATCATTTTCTAAAAGGAGTAAGTATTCCTAATGATGTCCCTAATCTAGGGGTATAGTTTTATTTGTAATTTCCTTCATCCATTGGAAGAGAATTCCTCATTCTTTTGCCCATGATAAATTCTCCTTGTAAAAGCATAGGTGGGACATGTTATTATTAACTTTTCTTTTTATAGATATAAAAAGAAAAGTTTCACAATGTAATTTTCCATTTGGTGGCAAATTTGGGTTGTTTCCTAAATAGCTTTAGAGACAGTTATTCCACTAGTTTATTTCAGGTTAGATTAGGTGATGTCTCCGTGCTGGGGTTTCAGAAGCTTGAGAAGACTCATGCTTCCTTCCCCGTCTCACTCACAGACTGGGTCCTCCCGCACTCACCTGCTGGAGCTTCGAAGTCCTAGGTCAGAGAACAGCACATTCAGATGAACTCACCAACACTTTTTGAATGAAAATGATGCCCACCTCCACACAGGGCATGGCAACAACTTTGAACTAACATTTTCAAAACTGCATTCTGCAGAATACAAGAGGCCTTGGAGATATTTGTTAGGGTGTCCCCCCTCCAACCCCCCCCCGAAAGATGCAATGGTATAACACTAGGCCACAAAGCTAAACCAGTTTATTTGTTCTCTAGGCCTCTCATATGTGAATTTTCACTAAATGGCTATATACACCCAGCTTTACTTGACTGCAGAATGCTTTTCCCAGTGATAACAATTAATATGTCATAAGACTCCAGTGTCATGTGAAATGTAACTCAGGAGATGGCACACCACACTGCCATTAGCTATTTGCTCCTGGCATGAATTGGAGATTCTGCATGCAGGTTTGATCGCAGAGGAGAAGGGATATTGGGGACATGGCCTTGTGTAGCCTGGGGAAGGGGCAGGAATGTGTAAGAGGCTGAAGATGAACCACACGCTTCCCAGCAATGCCCAGGCCACTTGGTGGTGTTCTCTAGACTGTGGCCGTGTGGGCCTGCGCTAGCCACATTTGGCCTGACCATGTGCACTGGCTGACTTACCTGGGCTTTTCCTTTGTTGTCAAGGATACATCCGCAACACCAGCAGCATCTCTCCACGGGGATACTCTTCCAGCTCCACGCCTCAGCAGTCTAATTACAGCACCTCCAGCAACAGTATGAACGGCTACAGCAACGTCCCCATGGCCAACCTGGGTGTCCCAGGATCACCCGGCTTTCTAAATGGCTCACCTACCGGCTCCCCATATGGAAGTAAGTGTCCTTGCAGCTGTGCGGCTCTCGTGCAGAGCTCCCCATTTCTGGGTTTTCCTGTTCAGACTTTTGGGGAAAGTGACATCCCTAAGTCTTACTGTCTCGTGGGGGAGTAGCCCAGTTTCCTGATGAAATTCCTTCCTGCCCTTTGTTCTTTTCCCTTAGCTGGGCTTTGGATCATTTTCTTACTTAAGGCCAACTGGGAAAGGAAAGGAATGAAATGATTCTTTTTTTAGAGAAAGAGTCTGTGTGGCTTGTGCAGTTGATAATATGTGCACTCTTCACAAGGCATGTTCAGATGCCGTATTTTATTTAATCTTCATATGGACTTTCTGAGGTTAGCATGATTAACCCCATGTTATAAGCAGGTAAGTTTGGGTGCCCAGCTGTTAACTGACTTACCTAAGATCACACAGACAGAATGTAGCAGGGCGATCGTTTGAGCACAGAGTGGATGACTTCAGGTTATTTTGTGTATTGCACCATGCTTCTTTTTTACTTTGCATCATGGCCATCCCTTCCCATAAGCAGGTCCAGAGAGGTGGAAGTTGACTGCATGTAATCGTGTGACATATTGAGACAGAACCCCTTCATCTCATCGGTGGTCTAGCTGCAAAATTGATGCTCTGGAAAGTTGTGAAAACTCACCGGGGTTGCTTTGGGAGCTAAGCCGGGAACTTACACAACAGTCCCAGGGGCCTGAGAGAGTTTGTGTTTTTCAAGCCTGTTTAGGGAATACTTCAGGCCAGGGGACAAGCTGACAGGGGGAGTGTGCGGTGATTGAGTGGAGTGTTCTTGAAATGCTGGGTCTTGCTGCAAGGCTCTGCGGTTTGCCCTCTTTTCACCCAGACTGGCTCCCTCGTGCCAGGAGCAAGGACATGTCAAGGGCAG